GGTACAGCACCATAAATTGAACGGTTATATTACTTAACCTTCAATGAATTTTCATAGTAGCAATTGAAATTTAACCGACAGCTGTATTTTCATTCGCTCACGAAAAAAGAGTTTTACGCGTCATGCACAACATTTTCTCAATATTAAAATTTTATCATAATTTTTTCTCCCAATTATGCAAATCACCACTCGAGCTTTCTTCCCCCGGTTTTTTCCCTCTGCAAAAAAGTCATCTGTAATAACGCAAAAGTAGAAAGTCTAGGGAAATTTCAAAAGGGAGAAAAATTGCATAATACTCCTCCTTTTTTCCGCTAATTATTCAAATTTGTTGCTCAAACTTTTCAAGTTACACTTTATTTTTATTTTCCACGTTCTAATTAAACATTTTTCTTTTTGCCATACACCCGGGGAGAGAGATGATATTTAACCCGGCAACGAGTGTTCACATTCATCAGTATCCCTGTGACAAGTGCCAGGAATGAGACTTTGAAAACGCCGAGCGCTAGTGGATACGCAGGTGGTTGGTGGTGCCGCTCGTGGCATTGCGAAATGCATTTTACATGCAGTTGTAATCTTCAAATGATGGCACAGAGACGTTGGAATTACACCACTGGGACTGTTCTCATCTCCCTTCTGCACTCATTTTACCCCCCGAGTTATATTTACTCGGTGAATGCAGTCGTCAAAATAAATTGGATTTCGTGAACTATTTTTTTTTCGCCTTCTTCAATAGTGAACTCTGGGGGCTCCAGGCGCACGAAAGAATATCTAATTTTTTTTTTTCATTACTCTGAAAAGTGGGGGAAAAGCAAGAAGTTTAAATTATTTTTCAATACTTCTTATTTTCACTTTCATAATTTCAACTCCAAGCGCCACGACTCGTCTGCATTAGGGAAACTTCCCGAGAGAATTCACCGCGTATTCATCTTGGATCGATTAATTCTTCCTCCAGAGTGTTCACAATTCATTCCAATATTACGAAATGAGAGGGAGGTAGTTAGAGTGAGTGCACGGCTGCGGTTGACGGTTCTTAAATGACACATTACCTTAATCTCTGAGCGGCGGTAAGAACAAACTACCAGTTGAAAAAACCTACCCTTGAGAAACCTCACAAAAACCCGGAGCACTTCTCTTCCCACCAATGTCTCCATCTCGTTCATCATGACGTTGAGGATTACCGGTTGAAATTTCCAATAGAAAGCCCTGAAAATTTAAGTTGAATTTTTACTGGAAATTAAACATGAAAACAGTATTTTTTTCCCTGTAAATTTGCGTAACGGGGTAAAAACAAATTGAAATTTCATGGACAGTTGAGTTATAATTTCCAGAAGAGCGACATTGAATTCAAGTTAGGGAAAAAATAATGGAATTACGAATTTCACTGAATTTTCAAGAGCATTCTAAATTTTTTAGCAACAGCAAGATGCACGGAGAGAAATTCGGTAGAATAATTCTAGTGTTGGTACTGGGGAAAATTCCAATCCACCGGCTATGAAACATTCTCGTGCCGTTAAGGCGAAATTTATAGGGATTTCTGTGAAAATTTCATATAAAAACGGGAAAAATTCAGGTACTATTCAAAAAAATTTCTAGAAAATTTCTCTCCGTGTCAGAATTTCTGAACGTGTTTGAAGGGTCCAGGTTTAAAAAATTTCCGTTAAAAAAACTCCGTCAAAAAAACATCGTCAAAACAACTTAATTATTAAAAAAAATTGATGACAAAAAAACTTGAACAATTGGAACTTGAAAATAACTTTTAAAGAATCCAGGAAAATAATGCAAAAAACACAAGAATAGAGAATAGAGCATTAATAGAGTTACAAAATGAAAAAAAAAACAACACTACAAAATCTCCAGAAAATACAATTCCAATGAAATAAATGAAAACTATCGTTCATTCTTTTCCCAAGGAACCAAAATAAAACAGAATGTTCAATGACGAAATTGTACGAATTTTCAGAGCCACTAAAATGCGATTAAAATTTCCAAAAAGTGTACCGGTGATTTCAAAAATGTCCAACAGTGCGATCTAATCCCAATAAATTCATCACACCCCGCAAAAAACATTCGTTCAAACCAACCCTCGAACACTCGTCCCCAAAAATATTATCCCCTCATCGATAAATCGGTAAAATCCGCTTACTCAATCGTCGAGAATCTTCTTCCACCCGATAAAACCGCCACCTCCCCCTGCCAGTGAAGCCGCCAAAAAATAAAACACTCCCCGGAATAAAAGTCACCCCCTGCTGTTATTTATCCCCCTCGAACCGCGGTACATAGAATTTTTAGAGGTGCTGGTTAGGACACAGAAGTAGTGTATCCACCGAAAAATTCCCCCAACCCCGAATTTTTGGGCAGTGTAACCCGTACAAGCGCGCCCGCCGGGCCGAGATTGAATTATTTTTCTCCAGGAATAATTTTGCCATAAAATAAAACTCATATAGCTATATATATAAGTCAGAGTGTGGTACGTGGGCTTGAGGAAAAAAAATTGAAATAAAAAATGTAGAGAAAGGGGTATGAGCGTTGCACAGGCGCGGCCTCTATAACCGGCCGATTCACCGAGAGTCGCTTGGTGTGTGGTGCGCCCTGTGTGCTGCCCTAACTCCCCCCCCCCTCTCCCCCCGGCAATCCTGGCTATTTTCCTTCGCATTTTCTCATATTACATTCTGGATATAGGGAAGCTGAAAATTCCGGCCCTCCTCCGCTGTTTCTGTCAGTGAATATCTTACCATAATACTTACCCTTCTCCTCTTTCCTCATCTCACCGCCCTCACCTCACCAAAAAAGATCTTGGAAGTTTGAATTGAGGTAGCCAGTGCCAGTGGGGTGAGCATGAAAATACAGAAGAAGAAGAAGAGAGCAAAGCGCTTGGGAGTTTTGACGTATCCTCCCACATTGTATCGTTTACTTCCGTTACACAGCTGGAGCAACAACGACGCAACCTCGAGCAATATTTGCTAAGTTTATAACCGCACCACCGCGAAAACTCTCGGCGAATGTGCGTTCTAACTGACGAGTAAACAATATTCACGCCACGGTTATATTCGAGGGAGATATATCCGCGCTGTGATATGCTGGCTTCCGCTAATAACTTTGGTGCTATTTTTGCTGGGCAAATTGGTGGGGATTTCTCTGCCTCGGGGGCATTTTAAGGAGGGGTGATTGATGCAATTGTTGTTGGTGAAGTGAAACGTGTCGAGAGGTTGTTTGGGGTGATATGATTGAAGGTCATTTGATGTTATTGGGAATCGATTGATTTTGGATGCGATATTTAGGGAGAATTTCCAGGGTTTTTGATGAAATGGCTATTAGGTGCACTCGTCGGTTGAGCGATACACCATTGTTTGTAAATTATTGCTCCAATTCCGGGCGCATTGGGGGTGAGGTGGAACTAATATTAGGATTGATTCAATGCGGATTAAAGTACCAACGGATTGTCCTGGGAAATTCGTGCTAAATAAATAAATAACGTGGAGATAATTCCCGTACGATTTGTTATGCAACTCACTGTAGCCGGGGGACATAAAATGGGTAATAAGGAAATTCAATATAAAATTAAACAATAATCACAGACAATTGAAAATTCACTCTGAAATGAACACAGTAGTTCCATAAGAACACTATGTATGAATTCGTCAAAGGAGCATTCATTCATTCGGTTAGTCCCTCAAAAAATGCCATAAATTAAATTCACGAAGAACAGCAATATCCGCACTTGAGAATAAAACATTGTTAAACCCAGGGAATTAAAATCCCCCATCAACCGTCCTCGACGATTCCTCTTCAAACACCCACTCAAACTAATCTCTCCAAGCATCCCCCTCCCGCAACAAATTAAACTTCTACAGCCTCTGAAGACGAAAATAAGAAGCTAAGAGCTTTTTCCCGGCAATCCCATGTTTTAGTTTTCTTCTTTACCCACATTATCAAGAAAATACTATTTTCATGCTTTCATGATGTACGACTGACTTCCACCATAACGTGAAATAAGCGTAGAGTGAAATGTCTCTCAGGAATGACAAATAAAACAAACAAGAAGAATCGTAAAAATAAGGAATAAACGGAAAGGAAACATGAGTCGACCCGAATACTTTGCTCTCCCCCCCTGAAACTCCTCGGGTCTTCATGTATATACCATAACAATATGTATACTTAGACGCCTACGCAGATGAGAATTGAGTGCACTTATCGAATGGAGAGTACACCATTGTGACTCTTGTAATATAAATTTTTCCATTTTCACGCTAGAACATTCGAGCCACTTTGCCGCTGATACTTATTCCTTTATTGGGATAGACGGGACATTTCATTACGTCTTGCCTATGTACTTCCCCTCAACATGGCCGAGTAGTCCCCTAGCTTTTCACTGCACTTGCCTTTCACTGTCTCCTTTGCCCTCCTCCTCCTCCTCCTCCTCTCACTCTCTCTCTGTCACTGTCTCAGTTCACTGAAATCCAACACTTTTGCTGACAGAATGTCCTGTCTTTCCACTACAACTAGACACTACATATCTGTGTAAGAAACTGACTGTTCCATTATTACATTCCAACTTCGCCGGACCTGTAAATTCGAATCTCACGGTTGAATTTCGCACGAATATGCTCGTAGAGAAGTATTACCAATGAAACTAGTTGAAAGACTTCTTCCGTCTATTTCTTAAATTTTCTTTTTCCCTCCTCCTCCCATTTTATTTCAACGTATTCACCATCCCCAATAAGCAACGGCAGCAGATGCCGGCACCGAGGATTTTTATCATATAACCGTGTCAGAACGGTTATCCCTCCACCTCCTTGTGAAAAACTCGACGATCTTGAAAATTTTAGTGTGAAAAAAAAAGACTTGAAACTTTATCCACTTGACTGCCCTCTTCTCGCACTATCTTTATCCATCAGTTTTATTTTTTCTCGCTTTAGTTTTCACTCCTGACTGGGGCGGAGTGAGGAAGTTCTTCATTATTGAGATAAACTTTATTTTGATGGAGTCTCTGTGTTTCACAGATGTGCCGAGTTTTGCCACGGCGATTGGAAACGTGACGGTGGCCAGTGGCCGTGAAGCCATTTTGTCCTGCACGATTAGGAGTCTGGGGAAGTACAAGGTGAGTGAATGAGTTCATATGGGGCGATTAACGAAGATGAAGATTAAATGGTGGTGGTGCATTTGGAATGAAGAGTGGAATAGTGAGAACTAGTGAAATGCAAAATGTAAAAATTAGCCTGACGCGAAGACTTGTAGTTTCGAATACTCTTAGGAAAAAAAAAATTTTGTGGACAGTCACGTGTAAAAAAAAAATCAATAGAAAACCTAGCGAATTCGCTAGAAAATTCTATGGGAATTCTATGGGTTTCTATAGGCTTTTTATTGGAATTTCATTGAAAATTTCTATTTGTTTTTTGCGTTGATTCTATTGGGAATCAGGGAATGGGAGACGAGAATTCTCCAACTGATTTTGTAGGTTCATGCACTACTACAAAACATAAAGGTGATGAGAAATGAATTTTCGGAAATTTTTGCGAAAAAACATGAAAAAAATGTGAAACGAAAAATAAATTTTTCCTCTTGAATTCTGGAAATTTTATGGCTCGAAACTTTTACGTATTAAAACGTCATTTTTACGTGACACTCCATAAAAATTCGCGCGTAGACCAGTGATTTCTGCGAATCTGTAGTGATAAATCACAATTACGACAAACAAAGTAATTTTACGTGATTTATATCTCATACGGACGCCGTAGGTGACAGAAAAATTAGAATTCTGAAAACCTTCAAGGGTTCTCTCCTAAATAATGGCCATTATCCTTTGAAAGAGGAAAAATTATCATTTCCCTCAGTGCGAATGTCAAGGAGTTCAATGACTGGATTCACTCTATCACATCCTCGTTGAGTATAAAATTATCTCCCTAATGAGTGACTTAATGAGAAATGTCAAGAGATATTCCTTGGAGTTTACAACAATTGATATAAAAAAGCCCCTTGATATTTTCTCATTAAATCACTCCGCACTGAAATAATTCCCACCGAATTCAATGGGATACGGTAAATCGAATTCACTTCACAACTAATTCTATATCAACCCAGATAAATTCGGTCTGCAAAATGAGTCAAGTTAAATAGAAAAACTTTATATTTGAGGCCACTGAAAGGTCAAGAGCCGTTCCCCCTAACCGATGAAATTTTACACAAAGTAGGTTTCTTTATGATCTTCTCCAGCACCACTTACTACCGGGGTAATTGAATAATTAACAGGATAAGTTATATCAACCCTCCTGCCACTTGTTGTTCACTGAATTATGTTTTGAAAGAATCGTGAATTCATTCATCAGTTTCTTTAATTTTATCTCTGTTCAGTCGAGTAGAACAAAGCACAACTGATCTTTTAAATTCTGTTGCCAACCAATATAAGTAATTCTATAATAGTATTTCTCACTTCGCAGGCCATAAAATTGAATATTCAAGTAATTAAGAAGGTTTAATTTCACCCTCTTCATAATCCTTTCATAATTTTATCACGATTTTTGTTCCTCGAAGGCAAGAACAGTCAGTACTTACTATACGCGGGTTATTTTTGGACAAACAGCGAAGTGGAGAAAAACACAGCATAATTTATTTGAATTTCCAGTCCAATATGAATATTCAGTACCAAATTACATTGAATTTTCACTAAAATCTGAAATTTCATTGTTTTTCCCCCTAAATCACATTCAGTGTCACTGTCCTGAAAATTCAAGAATATATTTACCGGAATTTTCTGGTTTTCTATTCATTTTCAGGGGAAAATAGTACTGAAAGTTACAGTTCTCTTTGATTTTTCCACGAATTTCTGAATTTTCAATGACGAAATTTATTGACATTTCAGTGGTAATTAAATTGGATAAAAATTTCCAAAACGTGTACCGGAAATTTCAGACAAAAATTTTTAACGGTCCATTTCCACCGTCTCTCTTGCTAAATTGATTAGTCCTGATAAACTCACACACAGCATGATGAACATTTTCACTTTTAATTATTTTATTACGTTTTTTGTTCCCCGAAAACAAGAACACTCGCTACTTGCTATTCACGGGTTATTTTTAAACGAACATCGGAGTGCAAAGAAACAAAGAATGACTAATCTCTAACAAATATAAATGATTCCATCATAATTTTGTAATTTCACAGTCCAAAAAAGATCAACATCCAAGTGATTAAAAAAGTCTGCTTCCACCGTCTCCCTCGCTAAACTGAATAGTCCTGATAAACTCACACACAGCATGATGAACATTCTCACTTTTCATTATTTTATTACGTTTTTTGTTCGTCTTATCCTAAAATCTCGCGAACAAAGGTAGGAATGGGGACAATCGCCGAGTTGAAATGCACGGAGTCGATAAAAGTTCTTTTTGAAGTAGAGTATAACGAAAGAACAGGTACAGAGTAAAACGGCCAACTGGTTGGAACAAATAAAAAAAAATGAAAACGATAGGGAGTGAGATGAAGAAACTGTAAAGAGAGTAAATGGAAAAACTAGGAGGGTAGTGGGATGTGTATCGGTGGAGAATCACTGATACAGGGGTTGGGATGTCACCGTTGATGTATACATCTACCGTAAGATGCTGGAGAATTCTCAAAGGTATCCAGTGTAAACCTTGAAGAGTCGATTTCTACGTCAAAGGTTATACGCAATCTCCGGGGGCTTCGGTAGCGGACCATAAGTATCCAGGATTGAGCTGCTTTAGAAAAAAGAGATGAAAAGGAGAAATCATAAAGCAGGAGGAGGAGGAGGAGGAGGAGGGGGGGAAGGTTAAATTGTAAATGAGGTTGTAGGTAAATAAGGTTTCGAGATTGTAGAGCATGGGCAAAGTTTGCAAAGGCAGGAAAAATTGTCTCTATCGTGATTAAAGCTGATGAGGGGCCGCTCGGAATGAAAGGTATCAATATCATTTTACTTTACTGCCACTTCAAATTACGGTTGAGAGTGGATTGGATATTGGAGTAGTGAAACATAATAAGTCAGTTATAATCTAATCACCCAATTGACTGTTATTAACTTCCTGATTTATATCGGGTAGTTATTGTAATGGCCCTGAAAATAGAAACTGGAAATTTCATGTTATCCACGTTTCGTGACATCTAGAAACTTTCTATGAAGTTTTTGGAAGGATCTTCGTGTGTGTAAACAACACGGCCGATTCTATTTCTTTCATGCATTCGATGCGTGTCCATTTAACTCGATTGAACTGATTACACGGTCAAAAAAATTTAGCTGAATTTTTCGGAAAAAGATCTCGAAGTCGATTTAAGGGGAAAGAGTCGATGGAATTTCAAGTTTAGTCAATTTACATGAATTTTCAAGTGAAAATGAATATTCACTGTTAAATTCCCTGGAATTTTCAGGGAATTAATTTTCAGGGATTACCAGTTTTTATCGAATATCTGAAATGTGAAATCTCATCATAATAATGAAATGAAAATTCACCACAATAGCCCCTTTAAAACTAGATATACCAAGTTCCACTTGATGAATCAACGGAATCCATTCAATTTGTTACGCTGACCTGGTAATCCCGTCTGATTCTCTAGGTGTCAATGATTTACCGATAAAATTACATTTTTCACTCCCTTCAACATGATTCTATTCATCACAGTATTTAATTTGCAATCCATAATTTATCCACTCGTCCTTTAATTAAATCTCTTTGGCAATTAGTGTTGGAAACCCGTTCAATTCCCCCATCATTCGTTGAACATTCATTCATCCAGTTATAGTTGATCCAGTCACCTAATGCACAGACGGAAATTGCATCAGCAAAAAAAGCTGGCGCATAAAAAGAACGAATACACGAATTCCGTCAGAAAGATTTGAAAAGCCACATAAAAAACCGGAAATCCTAACAATTTTTTTACACCAAAAAGTCGCGGGAACAGAAAAACCAGAGGAAAAAATTATTTCATCACGAGAACACTTCTTTTTTCATTCTATTCCGGAACATACTTATAACTCTACGCTTGAATAGTTCCATAACTCTGGTGAGTTTTTCCGGGTGCTCCATATTGCATCCCGAAATGCCGAATTGGCGAAAGAGAGAGAAAATCCTATACCGGAGGAAGAAACATCGTTCCTCGGTTCGTTCATTTGGAAAATTTGAATATAGTTATATATGCACTATCATCCTGTCCGCCATTACATAAAGCTGAGACTTGACTCCACCGAAAAAGCTTTCATTTATTCCGACTCCGTATTTCGCAATTATGAAACATCGTTAAATATTTTCGTTCACGTCCGATCCGGCTCAGCAAAAATCCCCCGGGCTTGTCCGTATTTTATAAAATGTTTTTTACCCAACTTTACCGTATTATTTTCATATTTTTACACTAGGTATAGTCCCCCCCCCTGCCCGCGGGTTTTCTGTTGTGCTGTAACTGGAGATATCGAGCACCCACATGCAACCTCGATGTACATTCTCCACCCCTGAACTGATAAATTCTTGTGTGCGGTCCACGTACAGTTGGTATGTTGTAAATTAGTTGGACTCCCTCTATAATTCTATCGTGAAATTGTTCCATTCAATTTAGTCAGTAGGAGAATTAATTTTACGGAGTGAAATGCACCATCGGGACGAGACTTGTACTTTAATTTCAATTATTTGATTTGTTTATATGCACCGAACGCTCGGTATTTCCAAGGGCTATCGAATGTTGTTTAGTGATGGTAATTCATTTTATGGAATGGAAATATTTGAACTGGAGCTTTTTGTCCTGCATTAACATGAAATTTGAGGTTCGAACTGAGGGGTATAGTTGCTGTATCAATTACATTCTTATTCAATTGTTGTTTCCATTCGAAATATCCATTGATCGCAAAATGCAAACATTTTAAGCTATGCTTGAATTAATTTGAAGCATGATATTCAAAGATATCTCCGGAATTGTGATTTTCAAAATTACAAAATTGTTGAAAATTTTCGAATAAATGAAAATAACGATTATTGCTATCGCCCTCATCTTTGAACTCGATTAAAGGGACATCCGAACAAATTTTTAAAGCCATCATTCAATCAATTCAGAACTTTTTTTTCAGTTATCGTGGGACAACTGATTTTCGAAAAAATTCAAAAATTG